ATCAAAATAAAATCTCGTCCATAATGAAGTTATAATCTACAACAGTGCCCTAGTTTTATACTTATATCAATAATTGTTGTTTACAAGTTTTGGTCGGAAAAATGATCTTCAACAGAGAGCGGAGACAGCTACTGATGAAAACCTGCAGCAGGCTAATAAAATGCTTTTGGTGACGCGCACCAGGTCTTAGAATTATCCGAAAGTACAAAATTCACATTAGTGTTAATACTTTGGAACTTGTTCACTATGCAGAAGATTTCCCCATTGATTTCAGATCAATAAACGTCTCTCTTGGCTTTTACAGTGAAACAGATAACTTCCCTTAGATTTCTCCTATTAGTGGACATCTGTTTTTAGTGTTGTTTATAGCGTATTTTCATCACCAGTCCTCTCTGACTTCACTGGAAGTCATGTCTTCGCTGTCTCCCTTTTAACAGCTTGTCGGTTTGTGCATATAGATCTTCGAGTTTGTGAGACATGCGACATAAATCATCCATAAAGTCCATATATTCTACAAATGGTTCAACGTATGCCCTTCATCAGTGATAATAGGAAAACTTATCTTTCTTCTGCCTTCATTCCAAAAGCTTGTTTTGCTTTCCTTATCCTGCTTTTGACATCCTGATCAGTTCCGCCTGTAGTTAGAACAATACTGCCTAAATAAGTGGAAGAGGCAAATTCCTTCAAATTTCTCCAATTGATGGTGATTGAGGTCTGCTGGCTAGTTGTCTTCATCACTACTGTCTTCTTGATGCTCATCTGAAGTCCTGTGTTTCGCTGCTTCTTCTACCTACTAGTTTCACCCGGAGATCTTCGAGTTTGTGTGACACTAGGCCTAAGTCGTCCGTAGAGTTCACTTCTCCTAGATTATTACTATGAATCCAACATGTGTCTTGTTTCTTGCCTCCCGACTTTGCTGCCCATCACAATCATCACTGCTAATTGTAGGTAGTCTTGTTTCACTGCTGTTTTCACTTCAAAGGATTTGCTGAGCTTTCCCTTATGAATCATTTGCCATTCGGTGCCATCATATGGCTGTTGGATGAGCTTTTCAAATGTTTGCCGCATAATACAGTTTCAAGTTTACTTCGTGGTCGACTCAGTTGAAGGCTTTTTCAAAGTCGACGAAGTTGAGGTAAAGAATTGACTGCTATTGTAAGCTCTCTTTGATAATAATGCATTGCCTTCGATTTAGGACTTCCGTTGGCAAACATTTAACAATATTTTCTAGATCACTGAACAAACAGCTTTAAAATGTTTTTTCTCTTTTAAAGTAAAATTAAATGCTTTTTTCTTTCTTTTATATTTCATTAAAGTGAGAAATAGTCATGTGCTTTTTTTCCCTTGCGAAAACAAAGAAACTTAATATAGCCTGAATGGATTACATTATCCTTGTGAAAAGGCTTTCATGTCTCGTGCAATCAAAATCAATTTAGACACGTCAGTGCTAAAGACTGCCTAATGGAAAATAAATCTCCTTTCTCAAAAAAATTAAACGGTAAACTTGAAAAAACGAAGTGCAATTACAAAATATTAAGAAAAAAATAGACGGAAATGAGAAGTGGTAAAAGAAGACAGAGTGTGAAAAAAATTGATTGGTTACAGGATTTCATCATGAGCTGACATCAGTTAGAGAACTATTAGAAAATCTGAGAGTACTGAACAATCAACTGTTTCGTCCTAGTTTGGGACTCTTCATCAGTACGCACCCACTGAGGTTCAAGGGCTTCCATAAACTTTAAGATACGCCCCAACACGTTCTATAGATAGCAGTCAGGAATTTTGAACCACCTTTATGCGATATAAGCAACAATTCGTCATCACACTAAACCTTCCTTGGCAAACTTTGTGTTGATACTAACCAGGGTAGATGCACTACTACCTCCTTCCTTTAGTTTATTGATCTTCACTGTTATTTTAACCTTCAGTATGTCCTCTTAAACTGATCTAAATCTGTTTTCTCAGTAAAAAGTTTGAGCATTGTGGAATAGATCAAATGAAGTATAATTATATTTCAATGGTTTTCACACAATGATAAGTTTTTGATATTGGTAACATATTTTATTTGATCTATTTTCTCACCTCTTAACACTTTATCTATTTCATATATATTCCTATGACAGGTCCGTGTGTGATCAGATTGTTCGAAACGTGTTGCGAAAATACAGCGTTACACGATTCAGACAAATTACGTCTTCTTATTGCTATGTCTAAATTCATAAAGGGAACTAATTGTTCTATAATTCTTAGGGAATGGCAATACTTCAAAAAGAGTGGAAATGATTCTTAATGGTATATGTTGATTTTTTTTTCCTTCATCACGTTAATGATTATAAAATTTTAGCACTCCAAAATGAAGAAAATTTATTGATAATTATGAAAATTAGTATATTTGTTATTATTTTATCATTCATTATCATCATTATCCTAATTGGATTTAAACTCTTTTTTAACAGATAATATGAGGACCAAACACTTCGGTCCAATCAATCGACGGGAAAATCTAAATTGAACTGAATGATTAATAAGACTCGTTGCATAAAAGATGGCCCTCGTAGTTTAATGGATAACGCTTTGGCGTTTGAAACTATGGATTCGAGCCTCAGTGGGAACACCATAACCCACAGGGGAATGCACGCACATCCAGGCGACGTGCCCCGAATATGGACGAAGTGCGCATCCCGGATTCTACTGCTAAACATCATCCATCAATTGACTTCAAGATCATATGAGGATTCACATATGACTTTTAACGGTAGAATATTCACCAGCCGCGACAGAGGTTCAGGTGCGATTCTCCGCCGGAGCACTCGCAAACTACCCGGTAGTAAGGTCAGAGAAGAGGGAAATCGAGGAGTAAGGCCAGCTCTCCTACCCATTTATTAACATTACCACTGCCACACACACAAAAATTCAAAGCTTCAAGTTCTATGTTCCACTAAGAATGCAAAAGGAATGTAAAAAGAAATATGAAATTTAATAATTGCATTCAACATTGAGATTCCTAAGTCGACGTAAATTCCCTAGAGGAGATAAGCATGTCTTGATGATAAACACTAACAAGCATGAAACCTATGATAAACAATTCTGTATTGTAATCCTTCTTATAGCAAATAGAACTAAACATGATAACAGACAATCTTTAGTCACTTAAAAGTGAAAATATAAGAATTTTCTCTTTAGAAAAAAAATAATTTATGCATCCACCTAAAACGTTGAAATCGAAACACAGAGAAACCTTCATTGTCTAGTGGAGTCTAAACAAGAAAATATTTGAAATCAGTAATCAATTACTTAACTAATAAATGCCAACCAGTGATCTGTGTCATCTTACACTGACTTCATTCAACCTTAGGCAATATTTGTAATCTTGGGCATATCTGGAAAATCCTACTACCCTTACAACAAAAATGAGAAGGAAGAAGGAGAATCATACAAAACTAAGTTTCGAAGTTGTATAGTTAGTTACAACTGACTTGATTATCACCAATAAATTGTGTTCTAAGTGTCTTCGTATAGCAAATCATATTGTTTCGCTGTGTCATATACCCAATAAACAAATTAATATGGAATCTTCTGGGCCACTTCAAGAATTTTCGAACTCTGTGATTCAGTTTCATATCAAAAACAGGAAGATAGACATCTCATTTTATATATAATTATCTTTATACCATTATTCGATCACCGACATTTTATTAAAAATACAATAAACATATTAACAGAAACATGTGAAGAGGACTAATAAAGTGAATATAGGGTACGTAATGCTGGGTATTAACCACTCACTATTATGTACCTTCAACAAGGGTTTACAAATAACCAGCTGGTCACACCGTAAACATGAATGTTAAATCAGCATGGTATATTATAGTACAGCCTTACAACACAACCATATACAATCCACCAATAAAAAATCTTATAATGTAGGGTTTGTGAGACTTCAACTGATTCCAAGTAAAGTCAAAAAGATGCTGACAAAACCAACTGTTGAACATCAGTGAAGTGATAACTGGTGGGCTCTTGCTTCGGTGGTACATATACTAAAATTGGAACGATACAGAGAAGATTAGCCTGGCCCCTGCGCAATGACGACACGCAAAATCGTGGAGCATTCCATAATTTTTAGTGCAACGGTGCTTCGACGGTAGAACGCTCGCCAACGACGTACATAGCCCGGTGATCGATCCCCAGTCGACGCACTCCTAGACCTCCCCAAGGCGGTAGTGAGGCCGGTAAAGAGGGAAGGTTAGGCTAGCAACGCCACACCATAAAATTAAAAACCACTGATGCCGAAACCTCAAAGCTCTAACTTGAAGTCCTATGTTCCACTCGAAAAGTAAAGGAATGAGAAAGACAACTGGTGGTCAACCGAAGAAAAATGTTTGAGCAGTAAATTTCATCCAACTGGGTGTGAAGGCAATACTAGTCCATGGTAGTGATGGAATTACATTGTCTAGTTAATGAAGATACAATCCAGAGACTTGTGGATTTCAACTAAGAGGATAAACAGAAGTGTGTCTGTGTGTGCTTCATATACAGATAGTCCACGTTTCTACACATGTTTCTATACACCATAAGACTATAGGCACGTGCCGTTGAAGAGTTTCAGGGTCTGACAAAACAGGTTATCTAAGCTTTAATATTGATCTTCCAACAGATGTCCGATAGTGACAAAATAGACTTTTAAAAAAGTACAGTTATTTTGCTATAGCTGAGATTTTGGAGGCGAAAGCGACAAAAGCACAAAACTATACTTTCCTTTTCATCTTATGGACTTCCTATTACTGTTATTAGCATAGAATTTTTGAAACGCACTTCGTCACTGGAAGGTTTATGCATTATAACTTTTTGTCTCTATATTGAGGATATCAGACAGAAATCATGATATTAATAGAAGTAAAAACTGTTATCTGCATAATATAGATAACCACAGAAATACCACAAAACTACGTTAACAAATAGGGATTAGTGAGGTAGAAACAAATCATCAGTTGACTTACCTAGCTACTGTATTAATAATTGGTGCAAAATTTGTTGGCCCATGAAATTTAACTGTTCTCAAAGAATGAGCATAAGCAGCCATAGCACCTTGTATACCTTCACAATATGGATTATCCATATGTCCATTCTGTAAAACATGAAAGAAAATAAAAGATTAATTCACATTTATGAGGTGTTAAGAAATAAAATATTGCTTAAGTTAGTAAAAAATGATTTTTTGTTTAAAGTGCCTACAAGGTCAAATCCAAGCAACGTAAAATGTATTCCAATTCGTAATAATACTAGTTATTTTTAACTTTGTATTTTACACTTGATTGTATAATCAGTAAAAACGATTTGTCAAAATGATTTTTTATTAATATTCATAATTCCAGACAAATGGAGAATTGATGTAAGTATAAAATATCAGAACAAGAAAATATAAGGCACCTACTGTTATACCATGTAAGGAGGGGACATCTGAGGCCCTATGTAGGATTCTCAAGAAAGCAGGAATTAGAGTGGCATTCGAACCTACAAACTCACTCAGGTAGGACAAGCTCTGTAAGCTAAAGGATCCAGTGAACCCAATTAAACAAAATAATATAATTTATAAAATACCATGCAATAAATGTGATTTAAGTCAACTACATAGGTCAGACTAGTAGATAGGGAGTAGTGAGATTATCAGAACATAAGAACTTAGCTTGAGTTAGAATGATTGATACCATGATGATAAGTAATTTAGAAAAAAACTCAGCAATTGCACTGTATACATTAACACACAACCACACAATAGGGTGGTACAGAGTCCAAATTCTAAAAAGTAATATATATGGGTGGAGAGGCAGATTGATTACTGAATCTTTAGAAAGTAAAAGGATTGAGCGAAGAAATATTTACTTTTCAGTTAGATCCTCATCTCTGGCTCTACCTTAATACATATATATATAGCATTTTTATTACAGTACAAAACAATTTACCAATCAAGTGGCGGTAAGTTCGTTAACAATGATTAGTCAGTATCAACATGTCAGGGATAGGGTGATAATTAACGAAGAAAATTAATGAATACAATTAAAAGAAGGAAATGGTTACAACAAGTGGATTGCACAATAGATAATTTTGGGAAAAATGGAAGAGTAATTAAGGAATAAGTGAGTGCTCAAGTCGATTATGTAACAGATTGCTACAGTATGATTTCGACAATGGTAATTTATAACTAAAGATGAAGTAGTCATAAGAATAAAGTAATTTGAACAATGATAACACGTGATTAAAGATGAAGTAGTCAGAAAAATTATTTGGACAATCATAGTTTTTTAAAAGGTTTAGAGGGAGGGTGAAGCAGTTTGGTTTATACATTACATATATATGTATTAGATTAAAGCCAGATATGAGGATATAGTTGGAACGTAAGTATTTCTCCGCTCAATCGTTTTGCTTTCCAAATGTCTAAATGGAGATCTTTTTATAGCCAAAGACAGTAACCATGGTACCTAAACTTCCCAATAATTGATCCTTAGCATCTCGAACAACTAAGTTAGACAGTCTACGCCTTACTGTGTAGCTCAGATCAACAATCAATGACTTAATCCATTGATGCCACGTTTTGTCTTGACTACTGTCAACTCTCTCCTTCAATCTAATCTTACTTCAGTTAACATTCCTAATCGTGAAAAGTGTGTTGAACCATCGTCTTGGCCACTTACTATCGACAAAGCTTCATAACCTTGTCGACTGACCTTCCCGACATACTTAACTTTCAAGATATCATAATATTTCTACCGAACATGAGCACTAGAAGGAAGTCATATATGATTGAAAACTATTGATCTTTTCATACCTTTTACTTCTATTGACTATGTTTTACAGCGTCAAAGTGGAATATAGTGATCATGAGTTTACTTCCAAATAATTTACTTTATGTATATCAGACATAGTTTTAATTGGATGACACTTCTTTTAAAATAATTGAGAATAATCACTTAGTATCAGAGATTTCATCTTTTTTTATTAGTCTACTTATTTTCTCCTCTAATTGTACAGTTGACATGCTAACAGAATATCTTACATCCTCATTATCGGTGGTGTTTCATTTTTACTGGAAGACAGAGAGTGGGAGAGAGAGAGTCGATACGATTAATTTCTGTTTCCCTTCTACTATATTATCTTCTTGCATTCTGCTGCTTAACTGTTCTTCATTGTTTGTTATGGTAAACATGGCAACAGCGATATTGTAGAAATAGAATGATATAACATTACTCCTACATTTACTACAATAAAGTATCAACTAAAGAATATTAGCAATTAATAAATAACGCGACAGAATATAAATATCTGAAAAAAGTAGGAACAAGCGAAAGCAGTTACATTGGAAGGACAGAAATAAGGGCATATCTACGATTTTCTGAACATGTACCAAAAAGCTTATGTCTAAAGGAAACAAATTCTTTAAACTGTGCCATCGCCAGGCATCTCCTCGACAAGGGTCATGAGGTTGAAATCGAGAATCCTTTAAAATTATCAATAGACAAAGGAGTTTCATTCTCCTCAAGTTTGCCGAAGCAATTTCTATCAAACGCTTCAAACCAGATTTATGTGTTCAGAAAGAAGCAGTTATTAGTCTTCCCTTGCCATGGGAACTGGATGCTTTTATTCTCTACTCGGATTACGTAATCTTTGTCTTTAACCTCACTCCTCCTTTTTTATAATCTGCAATTTTGCTTGTCTCTTGTTCCTATGACGTGAGTTGAACTCAGTACATCGTCACCAAATTTAATAGTTACTCATCATCTTACTCACATCTTGTCATTATTACATAACTCCTTTACCATTGTATGCACACATTTATTTTGACTTGAACTGCCTGTGTAAAAAGTATATATAAGCGCAATTTTCTGAGCGCTGTTCACTAATTGTGGAACTTTCTGTCGACTGACAACATGTAAATTTTGCAAGTATATTAAAACTTTTCTGTACGTAAACCTCATAATTTATTTAGGCTGTGAGCAGCTGATGAGAAGCCAACGAAATAAATGATGGTACCATATTATTCTGCACAAACCACTGTTGTTCTTGCTATATTTAAATTAATCAAGGGGAACAAATGCAGATGTTATCCGCTTTATTCATAATAACATCCCTCTCTTTTCACCTTATTTTACAGTCGACGAATAACAGAGAACATTGCACAGAAATGCAGTAGTCCAACTTACTACAGTCCATCTTGTAAATAAAGGTGGAGAGGAAAACAAAAAGAAATTCAAAAGATGAATAATCAGCAGGAATATGTGGGAGAAGGAATATCAGCAGGGAAACACATAAGGATTTAGTACATCTGAGAGATTTAATGAGTGAATGCATCTGTGCCATTTAGAATGATTTTGAACCATATCGCAGAATGCCTCCAACCATTGGTTCTAAGCATTACCTGGACCAGATGTATGTATATAATTAATTTTTTTTAATTTTATTATAGGTTGATTCCATATAGTATTTTTGCTACAACTATGGAATTTTCAGCATGTGATATCGGTAGCCTAAATTTAGCAGGCCGACTAGTGATATCAGGTGTGCGTCGGCAGGGGGATTAAACCCCAGACCATGTGCATGGTCGTTGAGCGTCCTAACTGCCGTGCCACCGACGCACATACATCACTCTTCAAACCTTGCACACAATCATTAGGCACCATCACAACATTTGACAAGCTAGGTACCTCATGCATTATCCACTAGATCGCTTCGGCTACACTACCTCATTCCCAAAGTTGAATCAGGAGGTGTGAGATTCGAGTCCGAGCTAGAAGTAAGGTTTTCATTAAGCCAACGAAACAAATTTACATATATTTAATAGATATTATAGAATGAAAACAATGAATACAATTAATGTGAGAGTAGAATTTGGGCTCTGCGTTTGAATGTTTCTCCACATTAGATAGAGTTATTTCGTTGGCTTAAAAACCCAACCTCTAACTCAGACTCGAATCCCACACCTCCTGATTCAACCTGGGCAATGAGGTAGTGTCGTTAAGTCTCCTACAATGAGCATATTACATAGCGTAATAGATGGCATATCTGCTTCGGCTAGATTTCGGCTGTCTTAAAAGTAAAATAAGAAATATCTACACTGATACATGGTTAATTATTCACTTATACACACTTATAGGCACAACTTTGTCTTTTGATCATCTTAAAAGTGTAAAAATAAAATAAGAGAAAAGTATTTTTTTCTTTTCTTCAGTTTGTTAAAAGCTTTCAAGGGTAAACATACATGTTAGTGCTTCTTTTTTCTCTGAAAACATTTAGCAAGATGTCTCATCAATGAGATATATTATGTCAATTGCAGATTTCCGGAATAGAAAATTTTGTCTGATAATTTCTGTTTAGAAACATTTTGTAACCATAGTTGAATGTGATTCAAGTATTTATTTTGTTTTTCTTATAAAAACTGATAAGTGCGAAAATTATATTGAGGTCTAGAAAGCGACACTCCCAGTTTAGATAAAGTTTTCTTTTGCGTTCAGTACTCAAATGTCATTTTACTGGTACAAGATTTAAAAATCCCACTAATTGAGTAGTAACAGGATTTCATCATGAGGTGACATCAGTTAAAGAACTATTGGAAAACCTGCAGAGAGTACTGGGCAGTTGTCTCGTCCTGGTTTAGGATTCTTCATCAGTACGCACCCATCTATGTGTTATGTCAAATAAGCTTATCTAGCATGAAAATAGTGAACAATGAATCCATTTAAAGACACACACTCAGTTTATCACATCTAAAAATAACTTCCTATATCACATAGGATAGAAATTGTTATGTGGATTGACTGTAATCAAATTGTTCATAAACAATTATATATAAAATAAAATTTTAAAGATTTTAAATAAACCACATAAAAATTAACAGGAAATTTGGAGTGACATTTAAAATATGTAAAATAATTTATCCGTCAACAATTATTATCCCACTGTCATAACCTTCTACTATTAATAAAGATGGGAAACATGGCTAGTCTTCCAGTAAAATATCTTCCTAATATAAATATTATTTAACTTAGTGCACTATAGAGCACCATTCCGACCCCATACATGTCAACACAGAAAAATACAAAACCTAGAGAGAGAGATCATTAAAATAAACGGTTA